GTCGCCGCAACCGGTCAATGATTATAGGTCATCGGCCTAGGCTTCTTATGGGCTCATTCCAGGATCAGTTGGCCGGGTTTGGTACTGCGAGAGATGGTGAGGGCCTTGTTGCAGAGGGTTTTGGATTTAGGGTTTTGGGGTTTAGGGGGTGTGCACGAGTCCGCAGCGTTGGCAGGGCATAAACAAACCCAAGCACGACAGCTAAAGACACACGCAGACATGACCTTTAAAGCTACAACAAGGCTTCCAGGCAGCAGCGAGCCACAACTGCATTTCTAACATCATCTGCAAGCCAAGAAAGGCCTAAGACCCGAAACGAGCTAGCAACGTTGAGGCTACATCTAGACCCGGAACAAGCGCCAAAAATGAAACCTCTGAGACCGTAATCAAGACACTAAGCCCTACCCTGAATATCTGACCTTTTTCAGGATGCTTACAAGGCAATCTGAGTAAAGGAGCCCAAAAAAAGTAGGCTCTTTAGGATCCACATAAGCCCCAAACCCTAAACCCTAATGAACTCTATGTAAGATCCCAGCATGTCTTCCCAGGCGCGCTTCTTTCCGCAGAGGCCTTGGCCGAGATTCCGCGGCTGCAGAGCGACGTCGGGCACCCGACCTCTCATTTCTGATTTTTTGTTCTTTTGGTGTTTAGGGTCTAGGGTGTGTGTGTGTGTGTGTTTGTGTTCAGTATTTTGTTCATTCGGGGATTGCAGGGTTTATGGTTTGGCCTTTTCTGGTTTATCCGCACTTTCAGTTTGTGTCGTCTGCTTTGGGATTTCAGTGTTTTGGATTTAGTGGTCCTGTTGATGCTTAGGGTTTAGGGTTCAGGGTTCAGGGTTTAGGGATGCTTGCTTTCCAGTTTTGTCGATTTGGGATTGGAGGGTGTTAAGGTAAGGTGGGCCTTTCCTGTTCTGTTGAGAAAACGATGGTGCTTGTGAATTTTTGTTCCACTGCATTTGGGGCGTTAGAAGGTGGGGGTCACGATGTATGATCCATCTTTCTGCACGTACATACACATGCGCGCACACACACGCACATACATACACACATACATATATATATATATATTATATATATATACATACGTATTTGTTCATCTGTTTATATTTATACACACACACACAAAAAACTGTAGATACACACATATACAAACTTGCATGCATGCATGAGTGCAAGTCCTTTACACGTATCCAATCTTCGTTTCAGGCCTTTGGGTGACAAGCTTCGCAGGATGTTTTAATTTGGTGCGTTCTGCTTCGAGGGCATTCGGAGAGGGTGGGAGAAACCACACGCTGACACGTAGCGAAGCCCTTAACCAAAGGCCTGCAGTACATCCTGAACCTGTATACAACACCTCCCCTTCTTGCCAGGCTTGGATGATGGGGATCCTAACACATTATACCCTTGAAAAGAAAGAGGGTAATCAGTTGGTTATAGTTGATGTATCAGCCGAATTTCAGCGTCTGATGACTCACTCCACCGAGCCGTGGGACGGCCGTCGTCCGAACGAGGCATCACGGGCTTGGCTGCAGCTGGTGCCGCTGCGGGAAGTTGCTTTGCTTTCAAGTTTGTGTGCAGGATTTTGTTGAGGAAGGGTTGTTGCATAAGGATCGGGATTTAGGGTTCTATAGGGTTTAGGGTTTTTTTGCAAAGTGGATGTGAGGACTTGAGGCGCAGGCGTTCGGGTGCAGGTCAGGATTAAGGTTTTTGTTAATATATGGGCCTTATTATAATGCTTACCTATACTATTTTGGGCCCTAAACCCAAAATTCTAAACCCTAAACCCTGGACTATTTTGGGGGCTTCCTCATTCTAACAAAAGTATGATATACCCCAAATCCCTCCGCGAGTTTCGTATGCCCGAACTGATTTCTTGTCCGATCACACCGCCAAAACCCTATTCTAACTATGAAGGCCCCTGCCTTATGCGGGTTTCTTCACAGAGCTTCCAAGCAGAGGAGTGTGAATCAGCCCTGGAAGGCGGTGTCTCTGGACTTACCTGTAGTCTCCATTGTAGTTCCTTTTTTTGGTTTAAATATTAAGGATCCTAAAAGGTAACCCCAAACAGGAACTACAATGGAGACTATAGGTATAATAGAATGGACCATGATCGACGGTTTGATACTGTAGTAGTATACTATAGCTATACGACAGCATACTATGACACATGATCAGGGGCCAGGACTACTGAACGACATTACTACTCTTACTACTCCGCAGCAGCCCTTGTATGAGGATATGGAAAACCTTTTTGGCGCTCAACCCTAAGCTTCGAGACCCTAAACTCGAAACTCCAGACCCACAACCCTAAACGGAGCCGCTGATTTCTTCACGCTACGAAGCCAGAGAACCCAATAACCCATAATTATGCCATAATCAAAGGAAGATACCTTAAATTATAGGGGCATGAATATTATGATTTATAAGAAGTATATTCCTTAATTAAGGGATATTTGGGTTCGCTGCGAACCTCAGGTCCGACCTTGGCGTTTGTGGGTTGGCCTTGCACCCCTGAGCTCCTACCCTAAGCTACCATAACCTACTTCTTTGTAGCTTCTTATTATATACCCTAATATGGAATTTATAGGGACCCTGCAAAAGTAGGTTTTGGTAGGTTAAGTTACCCTAAAAGTCCCTTTACGGGTTGCTGTTGGTAAGGGTAACGGGTAACGGCTGCTATAAGGGTTCTATGGAGGGTGTAGGGATGAAGGGTCCGTGTACTCCCATAGTTACATACTTTCGTCTTAAATTAGTCCCTACCCATAGGCTCTAATTATAGCACTTCCTATTTTTGTGGTTTATATTTATTTAGGATCCTATAAGGTAATCCCTAAAAGGAACTACTATGGAGCCTATGGGTATCATATAGGGGCTTCAAGGCCACTAAACCCCCTAAGCCCTAAACCCCTAAACCCTAAACCCCCAAACCCCTAAACCCTAAACCCTATACCCCTGAACCCTAAACCCTAAGCCCTTAAACCCAATTTAGGTACATCGACCCGGAGCTCCTCTCTACTTTACATCTCACTAAAACTGCAGGGATGGCCTTCATATAAGGACTACGCTTCAAGCTTCGGCTAGATGTGGGGTTTTTAGGGTTCGGGGGTTTAGGGGTTTAGGGTTCAGGGTTAACTCCTCGACTGCCGATCTCTATCTGTCGGATCAGGAAGGTAGCTTCAGACGGTTTAGGGTTTAGGGTTTAGAGATAAACCTCATAGTTTAGGGCTTTGGGCTAATGTGGCACGCATTCCCCAAAAACGGCTAGTAATACCAGGTGCACTGGCTGGCCCCGGAATGGTCCGGTCGGTCACAGCCCTGCCGGACGTTTCGACCTGGTCTTTGGCGGATGGTCAGGCGACAGTTGTTCGGGTTTTGGGGCTGAATGGTTCAGGGCTTTGGGCTGAGGGTATAAAGTGCTGTGGGTTTGCAGTAGATCACAATCTCCGACATTGTTCAGACAGGTTGTGTGAGGTTTATGCCTTCAAGGCCCAGGTGTCCGCTTGTTTTTTTTTTCAGTTCTGGGTTTAATGTAGGGGCCTTCTTTCCCATAGGGTATTTGGGGTATATTGTACTTATTATACTATAATTTGGGGTATATTATGCTTATTATACTACAATTTGGGGTATATTATACTTATTATACCATAATTTTTAATAAGGAGCCCCCAAAATAGTATTGGTAATTAGTACGGTGCCTGCATGAGTCAAGCTTCAGGCTTACGAGCTCAGAGCTAGGGGGCGGCTTTCTTGTTTCAGGTTCTAGAGCTCCCTAGGGTGTGTGTGTGTGTGTATATTTTGCGATTTGCGAGCTGTCAGAGGAGTACGCAGCCTAATTAAGTTGCAGAAAACTCTCTCAAGTGGGCAAAAGGCCGAGAGAGTGGAGAGCACCAGAAGGTAGCTGGAGCGCACAACTGTACCGCCACACCTGTACGTGTAGCATCCCATGCCACTTTCAGCTCCTCCGGCACAAGAGTCCAGTAAGAGCCCTGTACGGCTGCTACGTCCGCCAGTCCACTTTCCGAGGATAAAGCAGCTTCCCAGTCCTCGGCCAGTTTCAGACAGGCTTTCGGGGTCTCGTCCAGGTGGTAAGACTCCTGGCATAGAGCTCGCCAGTTCACATCCTCAACTTCCCTCTGGAAATTCCGTAGGGTCGTGACCGGCTTGTCGCCAGCCTGCAGTTCGACATGGCTCCATGTGAAGCCATCAAAAGTCTGCAAGGCATTCTTGATAGCCGCGATGGTCTCAGTGCTCCATTGATCAGCCACCCCAGCTCGCTGCAAAACTTGCAGTTCGCCCGCCACGTGGTTGGTCAGCTCCTCCATCTCTGTCGGGTACAGCGGGAACTTGGCCAGGCACTGCTGTAGGCACCCAATGATCGTCCCACTAGACTCTGGCAGTGAGTCTTGGGTGAGCAGATCGCATAGAGCCCTGTGTGCCTGCTTCATGTAGTCGTTTTAGCTGTCGTTGGCCTCCACTTTTATGCGGGGGTGTCTTTGTTGTGGTACCGCCAGGGTGTAGTCCTCCTCCGCATGTTGCCGCCAGCGGCGACTGCCAATGCCAGGGGCCATCTCCCGGGCAAAAGATCCCGCCTGGTACAGCTTCCTCACACAGGAAGGAGCATCTCGCAGGTGTACCGACAACCGATTCCTGCTCCAGAACTCTCTCCCACAAGCCGGGCACAGGGTGCCCTGGACCACTGCTCTGTACTTAGCACTTAGCTGCTCGTCCATGAACCTTGTAGAAATGGGCCCCCAGAGCCGCTCTGGTCTTGAGTCGTCGCCCACATGGGCGACACGTCCACTGGTGTTCCTCGTCACCAGCCGTCTTTACTGAGGCTCGTCGCCACAGTGCCCAAAGACAGATGAGGACCACATAAGAGGAGCGAAATCGCTTCATCTCCTGGTCCATTCTGCTTCGCACTCGTCGCTTGACCCATGGCATAGAACCACCGAGGAGGTTGTGCCACTCCGGCCAGCTCTGTTCTCGCAGTCCAGGCCAGTCCTCGCTGTCACCCACCAGCCATGCCAAGTCCCGTTGGACTTGCTGCAGCCACGTCTGCTCTTCCTGCAAGACCGCCCAGAGCCCCTTGCGGCCGACCTTGCCATTGAGCCCAGCAGACTAATGCGGGCTTTCCGAGCAATGTAGGTCAGAGGCAGCACACCGGTGAGGATGTGTACCGCTGGAGGGGCCACCTTGTAGAGCAGATCTCCTTTGTAGGTTTTTGACAGCAGTCCCCGCAGAAGCCTGGAAAAGCCAGTCTCCATCTTGTGCCACGCCTCTGTACCCTCTGTCCACAAGGCCAGGTTGAAGAAGGTGGAGACAACAGAGGAGCAGAACAGGGAAGCCCGAACATGCAGGGGGATAGACATGTTGGTGAAGAGAAGGCTCTTGCCCGCATCAAAAGCCGCCTGTGCCATACCCAACCTCCGTCTTGCTTCGCCACAAAGTCGCATGTCCGTGTCCACCAGCCCACCCAGGTGAACGTACTGGCTCATGACATTGACTCGCAAATCCAAGTCGGCCAGGTGTAGGTGTCTTTCTCCCCTTTGGAACCATCGCCGTTTGGTCTTCTGGGAACCCTGTCCACGGATCGCCAGAATGAAGGCTGTCTTCTTCGGCTTCAGGTTCGGCGTCATACCATGCCGCTGGCAGTAGTCAAGAACAATAGACCCCAGTCTGCTTGTCTTGCATACCAGTCGGTTCGGGCCGGAGTCTGACAACGGGAAGGCACAGTCATCAGCCCAGGTACAGTCCTGTGCCTGGACTTTCTCCATGTCCGGTGCTGTCGTGTAGATGCCCCCTTCCACATCGACTGACAACTCCGTGAGCAGGTTCTCAGCCGTGGCATGCTCCATGATCTGCGTCAGGATCTTGCTGAGCACGAACGAAAAGACCACATCAGCCCATGATTCGCCAGGGCGTGATCCAGCATGGGTGCTGTTGATTTGTGCATCACTTCCATGTCTGGTGACAAACCATGACCGATGCAAGAGATCTTTGGCAAGGTGTCGGGCAGCTGCAGGCATTCCACAGTCCTGCATCATGCCCCCTTGCTGGATCATCGTCGCAAACTCCTGCATCTCATCCGGGCCAATGTCGAAAAATCGAAATACATGAATCACAGCATCATCACTGGACACATGTCCCACGGCCAGCTCCCTTATCACCCTGTAGTAGGCCGACTGCATGTCCAAGAAGAGGATGGCAGCCGAGTGCTTCTTCTGCCTCGCCCTGCGGAGGAAGCCATGGATGTACAATGCCGGGAAGAGCACCGGGGCATTCTTGCGGGCTCCGAGGTGGAACTCATGCAGTGCCTCCTCCAAAACGCCCCCAACACGTCGCCGGAGCAGCTTATGATAACACTTTCCCACCTGCGACGAAATGAACAGTGACCTGTAGCTGTTGGGGTCGTCGATGGGGCCAGCTCGTTTCCACGATTCGTGAAGAATGCCTCCCCGCCACTGCACCGGCTGTTGTAATCGTACAACACTTAAGGCAATTTGGTCGCATTCGGG